ACATGAGTTCTAAATTTCGCCACTAACTCGGAGAGCTATTCAAATGTACCAATATTTCTCAAGTCCAGAAAATCTTAAGAACGCACTCAAAAACTGGGTAATGTTATCTGAGTAACTTCTGCATCTTTTTTTCCATATATCAAATTCAGCATGTAAACTTTTCTTAAAATATAATTACTTAACTCATCCACCTTAATTGGTATTTACCATAAAGTTCTGACTCCAATTTTGACATATCTTTAACGACGAGGAATGCTTTCAAAAGGGCAGTTTTAAATAAGTATAACAAGTAAGTAATTCCGGCTTTTAGTGAGAAATGCAATGCAATATTTATCCAATAAAAATGAATTTTAATCAATTAAAATTTTTCCATTGTGTTCGATGAGCTTTTGCCATCTTTTTGGTAACTTCATGATTCCGCCTTCTTGGAACTTCTGGCCTTTATCTACAAGAAACTCAACTAAGTGATATTTGAGATTATCGGTATCACTGAAATTTTTACCATTTAACAAGTTTTGCAAACTTCGAAATAAATGGTATCTGATTGCTCAAGGTCGAGGCAATGTGGGAGATGGGGCATCACTTCTCAACGAAGCTCCATAATTTCGTACGTGTTGCTAAAGACGTGTGAGGCCTCGTATTGTCGTGGTGAAACCAAGGAGGTTAGTAAGAAGAAAAACAGGTTCAACTCAAACCTGCGGCTCGAATCTTGGCGGCCATGTTATTACTGCTTCTGTGACTTCTGCAAGGAAGTCTGTCATTGCAACACTTTTTTTGAAGCATGAGATTTCGTATTGCATATAGATGCAAGAATTGAATTTCTAAAAAGATTCCTGGGATCACTTTTCACGCGTAAGTATTGGTTTTTTTATGTAATTAGATAAATATGTTGAAAAATATCCCGATGGCATGTTTTTGCTTTCCAGATGTGAAAAAAAACGGACTTAATAATAATCAAAATATGCTGAATACATTTTAATGTTTCTATTTATAGATAGTATCTTCGTTCCTTAAGATCCAATGATATTTGCTAGGATTTAAACTATATAATTTGAATATTTTAGGTAATTCGTTTTATAATTTTTATGAATTGTAAAGGTGTTAAATGAAGTAATGCTTTTCTTTATGTATTAATTATTATTCATTTTTAAGTTTTGCGAACTGTCATGAATGCAATTTGTGCATTTGATCAAGATACACTGTTCTGTCGTTAAAAATTGTTTGCATAAACCTACAAATCACATAAATACAAAATTATTTATTTCTGCCCATAAATAAATAAAAGTAAGTAAAATATTTTCACAACTCAACATGTGGAAAGACGTATCCAAAAATTTATATAGGTATATTTTCTTGGAGATGCACTGAACTGAGCAACCGTCTAAATCCACCATCCCTTAATTAGCTGTCGCTTTTGACATGTATCATGCAAATCTATTTGCAGTTTATTTTTTATCTTATTTTAGATTTTCTGATTCCATGAAGTTATTTCATTTAAAGTAGCTGAATCAAAATTAACACTTTTCTGAAGTTTCTACTAAAACAATCCCCCCCAGAAAACTTCTAAAAATTGATAAATGGATAAAAGTTAACCTTTAACTGCTGTGAGCGGTCTCTCAGACCGCGCGAAATTTTCCATTAAATGCTTCCACCCCTTAGAATAATTAATGGCTATTGCCATTCTTAGTACCTTCCTAAACCAGTTGTCCAAAGTCACATAACAAGTTGCATTTGGCTAGCTCTATTTCTTCTTTTATTTTTAAAAATTTTTCCTCTTCAGCGGTCTGTGGGACCGATCACAGCAGATACGATTCAAATTTCGGCCGATAAAGTTCACTTTCCGTTGTTATTACATATTTCGCTTTTTTAAATATTCTTGAAATGGCCTCAAATGCGTGCAGGAAACGTTCTATATATCTTACCCAAGACCAAATTGAATAAATATTTTCGAAATTGCTCTAATTTAGAGTTCTCTGATGAAAGTTCCCATGATGAAATTATTGAGAGCGACCACGACACAAATTCAGAAATTTCTGCCGATGAAAATGAAAATCAATGTTCTCCTTCTACTAGAGATGTTTTTATTGGAAAAAATGAATTCAAATGGTCTATTCAAGAGCCCAACAAGGGTGTTCGAACTCGTAGCCACAATATTATTCTTCGTTCAATCTATTCAAGTGCTCGTCGAACCCGACGTTGGCCTATGACAATATTCTTCAGAAACTTGGATATCTGTGCAATGAATGCATTTGTAGTATTTCAATCTTATACCACTGGCTCCGAAAATGAAACGAAAAGATTTCATGCAATTCAGTTGGTGGAATCTCATGTAAATAGGAGGATAACTTCATCATTTTTTCCTAAAGAACTCAAACTTACAATAAGAAGAGTTTTCGAAATAAATGATGATGAAGGAAACACTGCGATTGAAGACGATAAATTAGATAAAAAAAGAACATGCTATATTTGTCCACAGAGGCAAAAAAAAGGGAAAAACAGCTTACAAATGTATAGAATGCAAAGAACCAGTATGTCTCTACAATGCAGTATAAAAGTATGTATAAAATGCAGCTCGAATTATAATTTTTAAAATAAAAATTATTTTTCCTATATTCATGATTAAAGCATTCTTATCGCAAATTTTTAATGTAAAATAAAAATGTTGAATTTTAAAATTCACTTCTTCTATCCAGATATGTAAGCGAAGGAATTATTATCACAGTATATATATTATTTTAATGAACTAATTTAAGTACAAAATTTGCTTTATATCTTCATGAAAAAGTTAAATATATGAAATTAAATAACATTTATTCAAATTAGAAAAATAAAACAATATCTTATATTGTTTTTAGCATATGCGGTCTGAGAGACCGCTCACAGTAGTTATGCGACAATTTGAGTCACAGTAGTTATAGGTTAAAATGTATTTTTAATTGAAATTAAGAATTATTAAAATTTTTAAAGTATGCCAATAAATGCTTTTAAAAAAAGAAAAGAAAAGAAATACTATTTGCATCAAGTACAAGTCCCCTGAAATTAGCTATTTCATCAACTGTCATAGTCAATAAAAAAATACGTGAATTTCTGTTTTAGTGTATTACAACTTAAAGAAGCATTAAGCATACTAACTTTCTCCTATCTCTTAAACATTTGTGTATGAAATGATTCTTTAATAAATTATGATAATGTTGTGAATAAATCAGAAATATCACTTCTTAAAGGCAAAATTGGAAAATACACTCAACAGGTTCCTAATAAAACCTAAGATCCTTGAAATGCGCAGAAATATCATTTTTAAAGGCTTTAATCTTATACATATTTCGAACTATTTCTAGCTAATAATTTCATATATAAATTATGGATATCATTTTTTTCAGTTTAAAACAAAAATGTAACAATAGCGAGGCCTTTCATTATAAATTTAACATATTTCTCTGGAAAATACATGCACGGAACAGCTTAGAAACACGTACGTTTCGCTGCTGAAATGCAATGTTTTGATATTACTTGTTAATGTGGACAAGGCACATGCCATCTTGTTTACCAAGAAAATTAAAATTGATAAAAACTTGCATTTCTATGGAGCTTCTATCCAATGGGCTAAAACGCCCCTTATCTCGGGGTGATCCTCAGTAATTCTCTCGCATGGACCCCACACATAACATCTCTCTTACAGAAGTTTCGAGCTCGTAAAGCAACATTATTCCCCTTAATTGCTTGAAACAGCGTTCTATCTATAGACAACAAGTTACTCATTTACAAATCCGTGTTGCGTCTCATGCTCTGTTATGCCCGCCCAGTATGGACATATTTTTGGAAATCTTGGAAAGAGGCTCCAAACAGCCCCAAAATTGTATATCACGTCAAATTTCAAATTCACCCTGGTACATTCGTAATAACCGTATCCATTTTGAGGTCAAAATAGACCATAAATAGAAATATAGGTCAAAATAGAAATAAATACTATATATTGTAAATTAGAAAGGAATTTTTTCGAAAGCCAAAAATGATTCTATATGATTTATGTTGATTCATTATGCTTGGATCATGATCTTTTTCAATTGATGTGATTGTAGACGACCCATTTTCATCACCAGTGATGATTCGTTTAAAAAAAAAAAAGAGTCGATTGCATTACGTTTGAAGCGCGTATTGCAAATAATGATTCGTTGTGTTAAATGAATTTCTTTTAATTCTTGCAGAACCCAAATATCAAGCTTACGACTTCTTAACGACTGCAGGTCATCTTGTGTGATTTTCAGTTGTTGTGTGCAATATACTTAATTTTTTTTGCAATCTCTAACACAGTTATGTGAAGATTTTCAATTATTCTTTAATTTTATTATCATCAGCTTCAGAAAGTCGGGAAAGAATTTTGGTCATCAAAGCAAAAGAGCAAAAATACACGGAATTCTTTTCTATAGCAACCTAAAATTATCAGCTGCCAAATCTCAAACGAAACAAAGAAAAATGTAAGATTGACAGGGTAAAAAAAAAAAAAAAAAAAAAAAAAAAACAATCGCATTATCCCATTATATAAGGCATTATTTGGTTGGTATTCTGATGGTTGCCCATTTACATTATGTGCTTTGTCATGTGGTTGTCTTGTTGTGTCATGTTATTCCTTCTTCAAGCGCTTCCCTCACAGACTTGTTTTTATAATGAATCTCTGTGTATCTCTCGAACATTTTAATAACTCTTACCATACTAATGAGCGACATAGTAATGAAGTAATTTTGAAATTTAGTATTTTATACCTAAATCACTTGTACCTGTGTAAAATTATAAATTTTACGATCAGTTTCGGCAGAAACGAGACCCCTGTGACACAATACTGGGGTAATTATACCATTAAATCTTTTAATTTCGCAATGTTTCTGGATTGTTTTTGCCCTGATTATGATAACGATTCCCATTTCAACCGTTGTATGGCAGCACTGACCGTTTAAAAACAAACGATATATTCATACTTTATCGATATCAGGTACTTCGTTCGATGACAGGTTCATGTTAAATGTCTATAAGCTGGGGGGTGAGAAAGGTTTTTGAGAATAGACATCGAGTGTAAACATTTAAAGAGAATGCTTCCTTTTTTGTTATTCTAATTAATTTATGTTTTAAACTTTGATAAAACTTGTGAATAAAACTCGTTACTTGGAGGTAAGTACCGAATACTGTTTTCCATAATCTTCTTTGTTACGAAATGCTCCAAGTTGAAAAGAAACAAAAAAATGGAAACAAACAACAGACCGTTAATTTATTAAGTATTTAAAGTAATTTCATATGTTTATAAATACTGACAAACATGTGCTTTGGAGTTTCGTAAAGTTCTGTCAATACCCTTTATTTCAATGTTTTATTGTGCTCTCAAATAATGTGTGTATCCCCCCCGCTTTATTTTTTATGCATTGTCTTTGACGATAAATTACAATAATATTATTTCTATGAAATGGACGTGAAATTCGAAGCTTTTTTGTTTATTTTAAATGAAATGTTATGTGTTTACTTTATATTCGGAATGTTATCGTTTATTCCATTCTTGATGTAGAGAAGCTAAGCTTTGTTAACCATAAATAATTTCACATTTCATTCGTTTCTGAATGATTTAATCTTACGTTTAACAGTAAAATTTAATAATACCAAGTAAGTAATTATTAACGTCTCATCATCATTATTATATATATGATTTAAAAAAAGTTCTGCAAATCGTAACTTGTTATTAACTAAAGAATTCAAGTCACCTGAATTTAATATCTCTGTGTATAAATATATGCGTGTATAGTTAGTGTTCACAAAAATTTTACAGCAGTTTGAATTGTACGATAAATGGCAGTGTTACTGAATATTTATGGGTTACTTATAATATGAAAATATATTTAATTCAGTTTTTGATAATTTTTCAGAAAATTGTAATAGATATGTAGCTTTATTTAATATATTTCAATTTTTTTCCATCATGAAATTTGCGGATATCATCTTTCTGTTTTCTGTGAATCTATAACTATATTTTTAATTTGCAATTGAATGTGTTTGAGGGAAAAAAAAGAATCTTGCCATGGATTCCATGGAGATAACACTCCATGTGAAATTATTTTTAATGCTAATCAATTTATTTCGTATTTCTGTGTAATTTCTTGTTTTTTTTATGATTAATGTTACTAAAATGTTTTAAGAAGTAATAAGCAGTGCATTTCATTTCTTTGAGATTATTATTTTTGTAAATAAAAAAAATTCTTTTCATTTTTATTGCATTGAGAAATTCTGACTATTAGTTCTCATATTTTTCTTATTTTAAAGTTTTTTTAATTTTTTTAATTTGCAGTATGTAAACTAAAAGTACAATATCATTTTTTCCCTCCCTTTTACATTTTTGAAATTACGTCTTTCTTTGCAAATAAGACCTTCATTAAAATAACATCTCGGTATTTTTTTTAATAATTTTTTACTGATGTAAAGTTGAATTTCTCAAAGGTACTTTTAAAACGTAATCCTTAATCATCTGGAGAATTCTTTATTCATTATATTTTTTTTAATGTAAAATTAACTGTAAATGATGCTTCTCATTTTAAAATCTGTTATTATTGCAAGATATCCTTATAACATGAAATAAGATATTAAATCTAATTTTGAAGTTAATTATATGTGTGTTTAAATTCTAAAGTAAAATAATGATTAAAATAAATCAATATCTAAATATTAACATTGTTTAACAGAAATGTTCATTATAAGTGTAGTTAACTTAGCAACTGCCCTATTTTGTTGAAGAATGTTAAGAAATTAATAATTAATGTTAAGAAAATAATGTTCTGAGAGTTGAAGCATGATTTTGCCAGTTTTATAAAGATCTTGAAGTCTATAACAAATATGTTGAGTAATTTGCCACTTTTAGTAACTGCATATTAGTTAGTTTTTATATATTTACATAAAAAAACTGTTCCTGTGTTTTATGGTCAATTTGCATTCACAAATTGCATTTACAAACTGTTTTTTATTACAGTTCTCAAACTGGTATTCTTATGTAAATATGGCATGTATAACTATCTGGTAAAACTTACTAGAAACCTACAGTATAAAGCATCTTCCTGTAGGAACTTTGGTTTTCAGAATTTTATTGAATTCTGGCTGCCATTTTCAAACTTCAGATTTCTTTCTGTCTTTTAAACTTGTTAAATTAAAGCAGAACAAGGTGACTGGATTTATATCTACCTTGGATAACTGCAAATTTTGTTATTACAGACTAATTTGAAGTAATGCAAATTTTTCTCTTAACAAGTTTTATGCAGATCTGTTAATCTCACAAAAAACATAAATATTTGACAATTAGCCAAGCACAAGTAATAAATTGCCAAATATAGCATGTTTAATTTCTAGCTTCTATCTTACATTTCAGAAAAAAATAATTTTAAACGTCAATCAGATTCACCTCGAAAGCATATTCTTGTCATAATTTTATTGTTGAAGACTTTTGCGGTAAAAGTACAGTTTAGGGTACCCTTTGGCAAAACTTGGCGATTTTTGGCGGTACATGGAAACCGATTCTGAGCAATTCTTTGACTCGTTATTTTGGCTTGCGAAGCGGCGATTTTTGGCACAAAAATCGCCGCTTCGCAAGCCAAAATTTTTGGCACAAAAATCGCCGCTGCTACACAAAGACAAAATAACAAGACAAACAATTGCGCAAACTTGGTATCCATGTACACATTGATTTATTTTCACTTAAAAAAAAAAATTCCCGAATTGCACCAAAATGGTATTGCGCTCTTCTTTGACTTTATCCATGTACACGTCGACCTATTTTCACTTTAAAAAAAAAAAAAAAATCCCTGAATTGCACAAACTTGCGTTGCACACTCACTTTACTTTGTCCATGTACACATCGATATATTTTCACTTAAAAAGTCAAAGGAGCATCAAATTCTACAATATAGGCAATAAGCACCAAAAGTAAATGTTCACTTACCATGATTTTCGATTTCACTTCGTAAACCCAGAGCCACGTAAAAAATCAAAATATCAATCATACTCAAATGACTTTTTCAAACCAGGTACTCTTTCTGATCGAACGCTTCACAGAGTGACCATCTGAACCTTCTTCTACAAACCCATTCAAATCCATGTAAACGGTTTTTACGTCGATAGATGCATATCCTTCCATACAGGACACTTATAATGGCTACTAAGTAAACCTTCATTTACACACCAGTCAGTTAAATGCACTTTTCCTCTTTTGTTCCAAATCGCACTGAAACAATAAAATTAAATCTTACTACATTCAGCCATTCTACCTTCTAAAAAATCAAACAAGTACATGTATTTCCTAATAACACATAACACACACATGGGATGTTTTGTAAGGACATCCCATGATTCAAAATTTCCCGGAATAATGCAAACCTGATTACATCATAATAGGGTTTCTATAACATTCAACTACTCAGGCTACCATAAATAAAACAACTTGGCGATAAATCAAACAACAACTTCGCCATAATACAAGGGGTACCTTAAAGTCTACTCTATCCGACTTTTGCTTTCTAGATTTATAATGAAGTTTCACACAAGGTTTGTGTTAGCTTTTATAAGCCTATTTATAAAATGATTACACTGTATGAAAACAAGGAAATCCGTTGGCTTACTTTGAGTGAAATCAAGTTGATTCATCATGGTCAGTTTCCTGATTCGTATAGTTGTATGGGTTGCAGTAAAAGCATTCATTCATGATTTTTTAAACGATGTGGCGAGTTTGTCCTCCAGGACATGAAACTTAGGCCGATGACCATGTGCTGCCTTTTTTTATTTTGGCATCTCTTATAGTTCAAGGCCTTTCTTCCCCGCCTTCCCCCCCTTCCCCCCATGCCCGAACTTGTTTTTCAATTATGGAGAAGCTGTACTTTTGTTAGAATTTTCAGCAGTGCTGACAGATCAACTTCCAATTCATTGCGTGCCACAGCGTTAAAGATAAACAAAGTTTACATAAACAAACGTTAAAGTTTAGATAAACAAAGGATATGCCTTTATCCATTTTTTGCACTAATTCCACTTTTTGTTTAATGAACTTTGAAACATACTTTCGTTTTGTAGATCCTTTACATATTAATAAATATATATCAGAAATTCTATTTGACATAATCTAAAGTTCAAGCTTACTTTTATAAAATTGCTCCAACAGTCTGCAAAAAATAATAAGCCGAATCCAATTCGAAGATTAAGGAACAATGCAATCTGCAACATTAACTGAAATAGATAATTAGATAATTTAAGCTTAGCTTATGCCGTCTGTTATACATTAAACGCGCACTCATAAACATATTTTGTGTACGCGCACAAGCATATTCGCAGCCGTAAAGGTCTTAAGCGCATGCGCAGAAAGTTTGTAGCTTTGAGGTCCGGATTGTGGGTGTCCGAATTAACGACTTTTGACTGTATTTACATACATTAAAAACATACATTTACATTACATACAGTAAAACACTTGCACTTTAAATGGTAAAAACAACCTTGTATTTAGCGTAGATATAATGAAACACTCAATCGATTTCGAGGGCAGCTAAGGGTCCCTCTTCATCAGGAGAAAGAATTCTTTCTCCTGATGAGGAGTGTTTCATTATACCTACGCTAAATACAAGGTTGTTTTTACGATTTTGATTGTCACATTAACGTGTTTCTCTTCTATTTTAGTCACTTGCATTTGTTATTAAAATCTTTCTTTAATTTTTTGATGCTGTTTCCCAAGATACACAATGATCTTTTTTTTGCTTTAAATAAAATCAGAGGATAGCAGAGACTCAACTGTGTGCAGTATAGGAAATGGAAACACATTTCCTTATTGTTTCCTTTAGAAAATTTTCAGCAGAATTCTGTATTCCCATCAAAATTTTATCATGCAGTTTCTTCCATTGCTGGCAAATTTCACAAGCTCATATTTTAAAAGAACGTTTAAGGCAAAAACTATCACAGCGTGTATAAAATTTGTTGGAACTTGGAACAAAAAAGAACACATGTGAAAATGGTGGCATTACTTGATTGAAAGATGGTTATGAGCATGATTGGTGGAAGAAAATCGGAAATCAGCAGCCTTGAAATCTTATTTTAGTCTTGTAGGTTTCAGGTTATTAAAAATAATACAGATTTTGACTAACAAAAGAAATAATAAATAAGTT